TCTTATAAAATCTATTATAAATGTATTCAAAATTTATTTATTAAGATAATTACTTTATTAAGTGTCTTATTTACCCTTATGTATCGTTACCCCTTCAGTTTTATTTTTTCCCCTTTATTCTTCAACTTTGAGTTTGTTCTTAGGGTTTGATAAGGATGGCAATGGGTCCCCACGGGGGTGGGGACCCCCTCCCCATTCTCATTCTCGCTAATGGCAGATACGGGGATCTCAATGGGGATTTTTTGTGAAAGGTCAAAAATTACCTCTGTCCTCATACTCACAGGGAATAATAAGTCCCCACAAATATCGAAGTCCCCGCCAAATAAAACTATCACTTATTCCATTGCTTGTTAATCAAAATTTTCACTACTTGTTAATCAAAAATAAGCTTAACATGGCTCTACTTAGACTCTACTGGTTTCCATATTTATCAAATAAAACTAACTCAAATAATCATATAAAGTAAAATTTTGAAACAAGATAAACAAACAGTGAATATACACAATAACACAGCCAATATAGACATGTCATTGTCAAGCAAGTCCAGCAAGCAAGCCCAGCAAGCAAGCCAGCAACAAGTTCATATTTCATAAAGAAAAAAGGTATAAACTGCCATATAAATCTAGCAAATCCAACAAAAGGTTTATAAAAAATAAAAGCACTAGGAATTTGAATCGATGGGGGGCTAGGCTCTTGTGAAGACATTGGCTAATTGATACCTAAGAATGAATTAAATTAGAAATTACTAGTTAGAAACACTAAAGCACTAAAGCACAAAGCACTAAAACACAAAGCACTAAAACACAAAAATTAAATTAGAAATTACTAGATAAAACACTAAAATTACTAGTTAAAAACACTCAAGCACTAAAGCACAAAAATTAAATTAAAAATTACTAGTTAAAAATACAAAAATTACTAGTTAGAAACACTAAAGCACAAAAGCACAAAAACTGTAGCTTCAAAAACTACATGTAATTGATACCTGGAGTTGGAGAGTTTGAAAAGAATCCAAGGCAGAGTTGCAGAGGAGGAGGCCACACGACAACAGAAAGAGGACGACCCAACCTTGGAGCTGGAGGTGAGCAGTGAGCGTTGCAGACTTGTAGTGGTTGTAGTGACGGCACGGTGAGAGGCTGAGAGCTTGAAAGGAATCACCGAATCACAGTTGAGATGGCCACGCAACAACAGAAAGAGGACGACCCAACCTTGGAGCTAGAGGTGAGCGGTGAGCGTTGCAAGGGTTATAGTGATGGCACGGTGAAAGGCTGAAAGCTTGAAGGGAATCACCGAATCACAGTTGAGATGGCCATGCGACAGTAGAAAGAGGATGACCTAGCCTTGAAGCTGGAGGTGAGCAGTGAGAGGTGGTGAGCGGTGAGCATTGCAGTGGTTCTAGAGACGGCACGGTGAGAGGTTGAGAGCTTGAAGGGAATCACCGATTCATCGATTCGTCGATTCTTAGTTGAGATGAAGACAGAGAGGATTGAGCAAGAGTTATAGCACAGAGCATGTGCGACAGAGGAGAGGAGATTGACTAGAGGGAGGAATCGCAATTCGCAAGTGGCAAGCAAAGAGACTGAAATCTTTGGATAATTCGATTGTCCTTTTGCTTCTAGGATTATGTAAATTGGGCTGGACAATTAGGTTTAGGAATATTAGATTGACAAAAAGAAAAAAAGGTTGGGCTGACAATTGGGTTTGGAAAATTTGAAAAAAAAAAGGGTTATAAAATTTAAGTTATATTGGTATTGGGTTAGCTAATTAGATTAGGTAAGTAAAAATTAATTGCTAACATATGTACAAAAATATATATAAATAAATTTATATTTTTTTTTATTTAATATGGATCCAAACGATTTCCCACTGAGTGAAGGAGATTTCCCGCAAAATTTCACGGGAAAAAAATAGCCACCATTCCCACCCCACGAAAAGGAATATTTTTGGAATTTTCATCCCTGTGACGAGAATCTCCATGAAGCTCCGTGGGTCGCAAAGAAAATTGCCATCCCTAGGGTCAGAAACCATTCTCCCAATTCCTTTCTTCATATTGTACAGCCGTCTCCAGTCCTTGGACAATGCAGTGTCAAAGTCACAGTTGCAAAAAATTGATTTTGATACATTCAACACTTGCAATCATAAAAAAATTAGTAACTCTTAATCTAATCAAAGATAAAATTCATTTTTCTTGTCGAAAATATAATTGAAAGGACATGAATCAATTTTCAATGAAATATGAGGAAACTCGTGGTTACAAGGAGTGAAATAGTTCACCTAAAAATAGGGTTTTTTTTTTTTTTTTTGTATTTTATTAATAAAACTTAGGTATTCATATGCAATTGTATAACGACTAGTGTAGAACCATTTCAAAGTGACTTGATGCACTTATAATAAATTTTATTAGTATTTTTTATTTATAAAAAACATAAAATTATATTTTCACTTAATTCAAAACAAAATTTTAATCAAACGACATATAATAAGTTTTCTATAATTTTTTTTTAAATCTTAGGGGAGCCATGGCCCCCTTCCATAATAATTTTGTTTAGTTTGATTGTTATGAATAAAAAATAATTTTAATTAATATAATAACAAATTATATTTTTAAACACCTTAACAAATCTTTTTTAATTATAAACAAATAAAATTAGGCAAACTAAAGACATCCTATATCTCGCTCATTTCTCACTCTCAGGT